CTCAAGAGGTCTCTGCAGGGCCTTTCTCTGCCCGTGGCTGGCGAGAGGGGAGCCCAGTCTGCCCCGCAGAATAGCCCACCTGGGAAGGCCAGCAGGGCCCCCAGAAATCCTCCTTGGCATTCAAAAGGAGAACAAGCCCCCTCCCCACCCCCAAGGGAGCGTGGGCAAGGCTGGGGCTCCACTCACAATGCTTCTCATCAACTTGTCACCTCCGCTGAAGGTCACCGCCAGCATGGAAGCGCACTCCTCGGCGTAGAATGGCTTGTAACCCATCTCATCCACAGCGCCTGGGGACCAGAGAGCAGAGACCCCGGGGGGGTGGGCACTGGCACTTGCTTGGCACTGCAGGAACCAGCTGGATTCCTCCCACCTGGCCTGGCTGGCTCTTCCTCCGGAGGACCAGCATTGCCAGCCAGGGTCCGCTTGCCGTGGGGCAGAGCCCCCAAGGGTCCACATGCCTCCCTCCTTTTGTGTGGCTGCAGAGCAAACCCCAGGCCTCTTTGGGAGAGCCCAGAGACCCACAGCCGGGAGGGAGGAGCCTTGGAGGGCCAGGAATCCAATTCTGTGCGGGGAGAACATCCTAACCCCTCCCTGCCCCCGAATGCCAGCGGCCTGGCCTCTTCCTGAGCCTTTCCCAGGCCGCTTTCCCAGGCCCGCTGAAATCTCCCTGGGGGCTGACAAGGCCGCTCACTCCAGACAGCAGGTTTCCCAGCACCTGCCTGGTGTCCGTCTGGCAAGGAATCCGGCGTGACGGAAAGGGGAACCGCAAATCTGCTCAGAGGCTCCTCTCCGGATCTCAGGGGGAGAACCGAGAAGCCGCTCGGCCTCTCGAATGGCACAGGGCGCAAACAGCTCCCCAAACCACGGCCAGGTGGGAGAGAGCCCGGCCCGGGAAAGGCGAGAGCACAGCGACCCCAGCCCTCGCTGCGCCATTACCAATGGTGACTGTGTAGATGGAGTTGGCGTAGCCATCGTAGTTGCAGTTGTCGTTGTGATGGCCCCCGTTGCCACTGGCGACCACGAAGATGCTGCCGAAGCCCCTCCGGCCAGCAATCACGCCGTGCTGCAGGGCGGCCTGTGGAGGACAAGCGCTTCAGGGGGGGGGGGGCGCAAAAACCCCCCCCCCCCCGCGGCCCTGCATACACTGCTCCCCTCCCTTCTTCCCAGGTGACAGCCCGGGAGGAAAAGGCCAAGCGGCGGGGGGGCTCATTAGCCGCCTGGCCCTGCAGGTGCTGGGGCACCCCTGAGGGCCACCCGGGCCCCGGGCCCTGCATCCCTGCAAGCCTCGGGCACGGAGCCCCCCCACGCCTGCGCTCCTCCTTACCTTTCCCAGCTGGTGGGGGCCGTCCACTGTTTTGCCATCGTCATCTGGGCCCCAGCTGCAGAGGAAGAGGCAGAGAGGGGCACTTAAAGGGACGAGGGGAGCAAGGGCTGGGACTCAGCATGCCCCCCCCCGCGCCCCCCCCGAAGGAGAAGGGCAGGGAACTCCGAGTGAGCCGGGGCCGGGCAGGCGTTTGCTTTCCTCGGAGGTCTGCAGGAGGAGCCAGGAGAGCAAGGGAGCCCACCGCCCAGGGGGAAACGGGAGAGGGAAAGCAGTAACGAAAGCAGGCCAAAATTAAATACGCCGCATAAACGTTTGCAAACCTGCAACTGTAGATGTCGTTGATCTGATAGTGCTTGTTAAAGGCGATGGCCTCCAGGCTGTCTGTGAGGGGCCCATCCAGCACCCGGATCCCTGCGGGGGAAGAGGCTCCAGGTTACTCGAGTGGGCCTGGGGGTGGGAGGAAGCGGGCAGCAAAGGCTTCTGTTCCCTCCATCGTCACCGGGGCTCTTCCGTCCCACCGGAACACGCAAAGGGAGCACAGGACTTTGTGGGGCTGGAATGAGCAGCTACTACTAAAAATCCTGAGAAACGTTATTTCACTTAATTTTAGTTAAAACCGAATATCCTGCAAGTGGTTAGTCTCCGGTTCTGAACGATTTCTGCCCTTTGACAGCTTTCAGGATGAAAAAGCTCCCCTCGGCGGCCCCTCCTGAAGTGGGCTGGGCTGCTCAGGGTGTGACTGACCCCCCGCCCACCCCCCAAGTCTTCTGAGCTGCCCCTGGGAGGCTGCGATCCTCAGCTGGCCGGGTCATTTACCTGGCCCACTGCCAAGGAAGCCAGTCTGGCCAGAAAGTGCCAGCAGGGAGGGAAGGGAAGGAGCGCTGCTTCGGTGCAGCTCTCCAAAGGGAGGCTGCCCCCTGGTGGTGGGCATCTCCAGAGCCTTGGCCTGCTCCCATCTGCCCCCCCCCCCCAAAAAAAAAACATCTGGAAGTCGCTTCCGAGGCAATTTCGGTTGCTCTGAAAGAGGCAGGTCTCTGGGCACCTTAAGGGCCAAACCAGAAGCTGCGATGGAGACCAGCTGCGGCGTCTTCAGCTGCTTCCTTTGCATGAGGAGTGGGGACCATCATGTGGCGGAAAGCTCTCACCCCCCCCCCCAGACTGCGGTAGGCAGGCAGGAGAGCGTCCTCACCCCAACCCTCCATGGCACAACTTTACACACGCACACACTCTGGGGGCCTACCACAGGGGAGTTCCGGCCAGAATACTTTGCACACTGCAGCCTCCCACAGCTCACTTCCAGGCTACCCAGAGCCAAATACTGGGGGTGCCTCCCACTGCACCCCATTGATGCGGCAATGTCCCTGCACTAGACCCCTCCCCCCAGGAAGCAGTGCCCGCGTGGGCAGGGACCTCTCTTTGCAAGACTGGAGGGTGCAAAATGCAGCGTTTGTGTTAGAATTGCAACCTGTAGAACGTCTGGTGACTCCCAAGAATTCAGGCAGGCGACCTTGTAACCCCGACAGCCGCTCTCTGTGGCTCCCCTGTGCCCGTCTGCCGTCTCTCTCTCCTTGCCAGGATGACCAGAGCGGAGGCAGGGGAGATGAACTGAGCTGCCCTGACAGACTCAACGCAGCCTGAAAGGACCCGCTTCCTTTAGAGGCTGAGAGTGGAAGGGGCTCGGCCCTTCGGGCTCCTGGGGGCTGCTCCCCCTCTTCCCCGACTGTTCCCCAGGCAGCATCTCTTCCCCGTCTCCCCAGGTCATTCCTGGCATCCCCCAATACCTGACACCCCCCACCCGCCCCTGCAGAACTGGGCAGTAGCAGCACCTGCAATCCGGCTCCCAAAGGCAACGCCCACTGAGCAGAAGCTGTTATTGGAGGCGGCTGCAATTTCCCCGGCACAGCGGGTCCCGTGGTGGTTGCCATTCTCCTCGTCTGGGTGGGGCATGGGGTCAGGGTCGTTGGAGTTCAAATCATAGCTGCCTTCTGGGCTCTGGGAGAGAGAGCAGCCTGAGGCCCCTCCTCTCCTTGGCCCAGGAGGGACAGGCCAGCCGGTGCCCCCCGCCCCCCCCCCGGCCCTTCAAGCCCCAGGGGACTCCTCCGTCCAGAGGAACTGCGGGGCAGAGGGGCAAGCACTCACGTAGTTGGGCTGGATGTCCTTGATGGTGTGTTCAATACCATCGTCCACCACCACCACCGTCACCCCCTGGCCAGTCACGTTCCGCTCCCACACACCAGTCACGTTGATGTCCATCCCGGGGCTTTTGCGATTGTCCTGGCCACCAAGGAGAGAGCAAAGGTGGCCAGAAAGGGGGCGGCATCCCCAGAGCCTGGGGGGGGAGGGGTGGGCAGCCGAACCTTGGCACCTGCCCCGCATAGCCTGGGACTCCCCTCCCTGGCAAGGGGTGGCCGAGGGGGCTGGAGGAAGGCTGCCTTGGAGGGCAGGACACAGCGGGGAAAGGCCCCCCTCCCTCGCCAGCGCAGCCCCGGGGGCTCCGGAGCCAGAAGCCCCGAGGGCGGCTTACCAGGTGCCACTGCTGGGGGAACTTGGGGTCGTTGAAGTGCAGGGCGCGCTTGGAGCGCTTGAGGAGCCGCTGCGCCGCGTGCCACCCCACGCCGGCGTGCCCAGCGAAGAGCGCCTCGGCCGCCCTCCGCAGCCCCGCGGGGGCCCGGTCCGAGGCGCGGGCAGGCCGGTAGGCCAGGAGGTAGTGGCCCTTCAGCTCCCCGATCCGGCCCACGTTGACCAGGCGGGCCTCCCGGGCCAGGTCATCGGCCAGCCGGTCCAGCTCCTCCTCGGGGCCGGTCAGGCGCACGGCCCACGCCAGGGTCTCCGGGCAGCGGGCACCCGAGCAAGGCGGCGCCCCCGCCCGCTGCTCCGTCGCCCCGAAGGCGCCCCAACCGGGGAGCAGCAGCAGCAGCAGCAGCGACGGCAACGCCCGGGCGGGGCAGCGGCGAGCGTCCCCGGCGGCCTCCATCACCGCTCGCCATGGCGGGGCAGCATCGGACCAGCGGCTGCCGGGAGAGAGACGGGGGGGCGTGAGCGGAGTCCCGGGCGGCCAGCTCCGCTCCGGCGGCTCTCCCGGGCCAGCAGGAAGCGGCGCCTGCCCCGGGGCGCCCAGCCGCAGGACGGGCTCCGGAGGCAGCGCTGCGCCGGGACGGGCCGCGGGCGCTCCCCGGGCGAGGCGGCTCCCCTCCCGGGCTCCCCTCCCGGGCGACCCTCGGCCCCCGCCCCGCCGAGACGCACCTTCCGCGGGAGCCGGGCGGGATCCGACGGCTGGGGAGGCTCAGACGTCACGTCCGCTGCCCGAT